CGCCAGGAGGAGTCCTCCTCCTAGTGGGAGTAGGACTCCCCTTTCCTAGTCCCACTAGGAGGGGGAAGGAAGGAGTGGGAGAGGGAAAAGGCAGGGGGGGTGCCACCCCCCTTTCCTTGTCCTATTCGGACTCAAGGCATGGGGAGGGGCGCGCGACCCTGCGCTGGCCGGCCCCTCTCTCTCCACTAGGGCCCAACAAGGCCCATTAACCCCCCCGGCACTCCGGTAAAATTCCGATTTCACTCGGAACTATTCCGATGTCCAAATATAGGCTTCCAATATATCAACTTTATGTCTCGACCATTTCGAGACTCCTCGTCATGTCCGTGATCATATCCGGGACTCCAAGCTACCTTTGATACATCAAAACACATGAACTCATATTACCGATCGTCACCTAACTTTAAGCGTGCGGACCCTACGGGTTCGAGAACTATGTAGACATGACCGAGACTCGTCTCCGGTCAATAACCAATAGCGGAACCTGGATGCTCATATTGGTTCCTACATATTCTATGAAGATCTTTATCGGTCAAACCACATAACAACATACGTTGTTCCCTTTGTCATCGGTATGTTACTTGCCCGAGATTCGATCGTCGGTATCCTCATACCTAGTTCAATCTCGTCACTGGCAAGTCTCTTTACTCGTTCCGTAATGCATGATCTCACAACTAACTCATTAGTCACAATGCTTGCAAGGCTTATAGTGATGTGCATTACCGAGAGGGCCCAGAGATACCTCTCCGACAATCGGAGTGACAAATCCTAATCTCGATCTATGCCAACTCAACAAGCACCATTGGAGACACCTGTAGAGCACCTTTATAATCACCCAGTTACATTGTGACGTTTGGTAGCACACAAAGTGTTACTCCGGTAGTCGGGAGTTGTAATCTCATAGTCATCGGAACATGTATAAGTCATGAAGAAAGTAATAGCAACAAACTAAACGATCATCGTGCTAAGCTAACGGATGGGTCAAGTCAATCACATCATTCTCTAATGATGTGATCCCGTTAATCAAATGACAACTCATGTCTATGGTTAGGAAAGATAACCATCATTGATTCAACGAGCTAGTCAAGTAGAGGCAAACTAGTGACACTCTGTTTGTCTATGTATTCACATATGTACTAAGTTTCCGGTTAATACAATTCTAGCATGAATAATAAACATTTATCATGATATAAGGAAATACAAATAACAACTTTATTATTGCCTCTAGGGCATATTTCTTTCACGAATCGGGGCTAAAGCGTGCGATGCCCTTTAGTCCTAGTTTGTGTCTCAAACGGGACTAAAGGGCCCATTTCTCAAACTCTACCCCCTGTATCGCCATTTTAGTTTTGAAAAAAAAAGGAAATGATAAAAACTTCAAAAAAATAAAATCCTACGAGATGTAGTTATATTACTACATCACTAGTTAGGAAAATTAAAAAACTTAAATTGGACATGTTTTGCAAAAAAGTGTTATGAAAAAGTAAAATGGCTATAACTTTTGCATACGATGTCGGAAAAAAATGTATAATATATCAAAATGTTCAACACGAAAATCCGCTATATATTATACGTCTCAAAAAATTAAGGTTGTCTCAGAAATGAGAGAGAGAGAGAGAGAGAGAGAGAGAGAGAGAGAGAGATGGTATCCCGCCGGGGCTTCCCGACAATCAGTTGCGAGCGCGTGGGAGTGTCTCCAACCCCCACGTGCCACGTGCTGGGTGCATCTGTATCCTTTTAATTTCTGCATGTGTATTGGAGGATTTTCTAAATTTTTGGTTTTTGCATTTTTGCTTGGTTTTTTAGGTTTTTATGAAGAAAATTATTTATTTATTATTCTCTCACGTGAAGCGCATTAAAAAAATTCATAGGTTTGCTATTGCGCCTCCACCTGAGGCGAAACCTGTGCATCCCGAAAGTGAAAGAGCATAACTATGTTCTCCGAGAGTGAAAAGGCGCAATTGTGCTTCCTAAAAAGGGGGAAAGCACTGTTGTGCTTTTGCGAGAAGCACAAATGAGGTTCCCGAAAAGTGAAAAACACATGTGCTTCCAGGTTTTTGATTTTTTTTTTCAGTTTTCTCGCTTTCCATTTTTTCTTTTTTGGGGAAAAAGATTGTCCAAACCGATTGATATGCATATAGTTTTGAAGATCTTGGCGCGAGAAATCGAAGAGTGAAAACAGTTCATAATTTGGACGCACGATTTAAGAGATACAATGCTTTGAATTTTTTTTTACGAAAAAGAGTAAAACTTATAGGTTGTGACAAATGTTGAACCTGCAGTGCGTCACTTGTCATCGCGAGAGAAGGTGGAAGTGACCTTTGCAAGAAATACCCTTAACTAGTGATTTTGAGGATACAAAAAGATTCTACAAAGGATTCCGGACGGGCAGGTGTGGATAGGTTTAACAGGGAGTCAGGGGAGTTGGGCCACGGGGAGAGAGATTAGCTGGGGAGAGAGGGGTCCATAGAATACCCGTAATTATCCGTAGGTCTAGTACTTTTTAGAAATGAAGGTTTACTAGGGAGAATCCTATTTGCCGATGGTTCACATAGACGAGCCAGCAATAGCCGGATTGGCCAACCCATTAGCTAGGATTTGTGCAAGAGAGATCTTGGTTATGGAAGTTTTTGACCGGTTTCCAAAACCTTCTGGAAGGTTTCAGTCCATTTTTCTTTCCTTTTTTTGTTGTTTTCTTCATGTTTTTTTCCTTTTTATTTTCTTTACTGTGTTTTTTCAAATGTTTCTAAAAATGTTCAGATTTTTTAAATAATAATGTTTAAAAGTTTCAAATTTTGCATCTTTAGAAGTTCACAACTACAAAAATTCTAAAACCAAAATAACTCCAGCGTTTTGACAAAGCGTCCAATAGGACATCCTGTGTACTGGCACATATGCTGCGAAAACTCGGAAGTTCCTAGTTGTAAAACTGTAGAATGCAAAACATGGTCTATTTGAACTAGTGTAGCATTCATGATGTCATTTTCAAACTTAAATTTTAAGCATCCTTGTAAATGTCGAAGGGAAATTAGGGAAAACACAAATTGAAACATAAGTAAATATCTGTTCATTTAAAAGATGGTTTTAGGGTTGACCAGGAATATGCTCGGTATTAAATAATAATTTTTTCAAGGTTGATTGCGAGAATGATACAAATAGAAATTAGTTTGTTCAAGGAGAGACTTGAAAGGTTGGTTTTTTTTGTGAAGCGTGTTATAATTATCTTAGATAAATGTTACATAAGACAGAACATGCATCGATTGATGCAGAGGTCGGGGTCTTAACCTCCTTTTCCAAAAAAAAGACAAAACATCTTTTTTCTCAAGTCAAGATGAAAAAAACAACAAACAATGATGGCAATTTAAGGTAGTAGTTCCTGCAAAAATGTCATCGCATCAGTTCGGACCTATTTTCGATGTCAGGACATAAAAAACACTAGATCACACAATACATTGGACTGGAACAAAAATATTGACACATGACACCATGTTACCGTTGTTTCAGGAAAAGTAACCTTTACACAAAAATGAAATTTAACCAAGGTCCAAAGGAGCCCATGACCAGTCTATATTTTCAGCCTATGTGTAGTCATTCGAGGTTGATTTTACTGCTTACCTCATCCTTTATAATTTTTTTTAAGTTATAGGTTTGGCATGAGTCATACTTCTATAAGTTTAACCAATTTTATAATAAAATTTACTAATATCCACAACATCAAATACATGGAGTATGAAAATACATTTTCTGATGAATCTAATGAAACTAGTTTGGTGTTATAGATTGATATTATTTTTCTATAGAGTTCATCGAGTGTGGGGAAGTTTGACTTAGAATAAACCTAGACTGCAAATATTTTTAAATGGAGGAGATAGTTAGTTAGCTTCACATCTTTTTTATCTAGAGACATATATAATTTTTTTTTCTGAATTCCTTGTTGCATTAGTTTCTCGATTGGTGTTATCATGTAATTTCTAGACATATCTAGATTGTTACCTCAGTAATTAGGGTGCCACATGACATTCTTGACCTATGAAAAAACACACGACCATCTTAGTAAATTGAACTAGTTTGTGGATATTCAGTGCCGGGGCTCATCTGCATCCAGTGAACAGTAAAATCAAAAAAATAGCATAAACTAGAAAATTGAATTATTTGGATGCAAAATGATTCAGTGCGCCAGGTGCGTGCAAAATTTCATGGCTAAATGACATATGAGGAGCTCGTGACCAAAAATCCAAAATGAGCAGTGCTATTTTCAAAAGTTCCTCGCAGACCCAAATTTGTCTTTTTTTTGCTACGAGCTACCGAAATGTCCAAACTGCTGGAAATTTGGCACGGACTTCATGCACATGAGCATCTTCCATCACAAACAAATTGTTTTTCTCAATATTTATTAATGATTTTACTGTTCACATGCGGGGTGCAGATGCACCCGAGAACCAATACACGCACATATTCGCGGTTCAAGAGTTGTTTTTCCTGAGTCCTGACAAGGGATATGCTTCCTGTCCATTTTGTATTCATTGCTGGGATATCTGTGTTTATTTTTACTTCTGTCGAAAACAGTAGATATTGAAACAACATTATGCATAGTTCCGTCATTTTCATTTTTTTTAGAAAAGGAGTCCCGTCATTTTCATATCCTCTTCCTGACGGCACCCAGCATCTTGAATGAACGCGACCATGCATGCAAACCGGTACGTAATGAATCAATCCTCTTCATATCCTTCATGTCCTTTTCATGTCCGGCCTCTTCATTCAGTCTCTACGTCACTAGAGTCGTGACGGCACCCAGCATCTCGAATGAAGGCGACCATGCATGCAATGCAAACCGATATCAGCTCACGGTCGAATTCACCACCAACGGGTGGCTCGGGGAGCGCCTGCGAGCGGACGACAAACGAACGGCTCATAACCAACATCATCATCGGTGCAACAAAATAAACCACTTATCACCCAGCAGTGAGCTCTAGCTAGTAGTACTATTTCTTGGTGCCGTGATGAACATCCGCGTGCGAGCTCTCGAGACCAACCATGTCCGGCCGGAGATCATTCCCACCGGTCCGCCGTCGGATCACGGCCCCATCAGGCTCTCCCTCTTCGACACCCTGTTCCTCTCGCTCCCCCCGATCCAGCGCCTCTTCTTCTATGACGGCGAGGACCTCCCGCCGTTCCCGGCGCTCGTGCGCTCCCTGCGGTCCTCCCTCGCCGCCACGCTCACCGTCTTCACCCCGCTCGCCGGCAAGCTTGCGGCCTGCACCGATGGCGACGTCGCCATTGAATGCTCCCCCGACGCTGTCCGTCCAGGTGTGAGGTTCGTCGTCGCACAGTACTCCGGCGACGCCTCCGACATGCGCCCGCTAGCGCGGGATGCCGAGCATGACACCGAGGCGTTCTTGCAGCTCGTGCCGGAGCTCGAGGTGCGCAGGCTGCCGGCGCCCGTGCTTGCCGTCCAGGTCACGCGGCCGGCACCGGCAGGGCGAGGCGATGACGGCGGGGCCGGCGCCGTGGCCGTCGGGGTCTCGATGCACCACGCGGTGGCTGACGGGCAGTCGCTTTGGCAGTTCATGCGTGCATGGGCCACCGCATCACGAGATGGCTCGCTGGCGTTGGCAGGGCTCGTGCCACCGCCGATGTTCGACCGGGCGGGCATCCTGCGGCACCCCAAAGCAGAGGCGGCTACACGCCAGTTTGCCCGGCTCTCGGCGCCGGATCTGCCCACGGTGAACACGCTCACAGAGCCGGACTGGACGCGGCAGAGCAGGAGGACCTACCTGCTCACCGCCTCCCAAATCCAATCTCTCAAGCGCCGCATCCTGCAACAAAGCGACAAGGACCAGCCGCCGGAGCCTCCAACCACGTTCATCGCCATCGCGTCCCTGCTCTGGACATCCTTCGCCCGCGCCAAGCACCCGAACCACGGGGCTACTGACGATGAAGACGTGTACTTCCTGTTCCCCGCGGACTGCCGTCGGCGCCTGCGCCGGCCTCTGGACCCCGGCTTCTTCGGCAACTGCGTCAAGCTTTGCTACGCGCGGGCCAAGACAGGCGACCTCTGCGGCCATGACGACGGCGCCGCACTCGCACGCGCGGCCGCGGCTGTGCGGCGTGCGATCCGCGAGCACGTGGAGGAGGAGGACCCGCTGGGCGACGCCGACCGGTGGGCGGAGACCATCCGGGGCGTCCCGCGGGACAGGCTGGCCAGGCAGGGGTCGTCGCACCGGTTCATGGCGTACGAGGTGGACTTCGGGGTGGGGGGAGCCAAGCCGAGCGGAGATCGTGTCGATGCTCAGCGCGGCGGAGGTAGTGATGCTGGTGGGAGCGCGAGGCGGCACGGTGCAGGTGTCCGTGGCGCTTGGCCGGGAGCACGTGGACGGCTTCGAGGCCAGCTTCCATCGCATAAGAGCCTCACGTGTAATTGGTGGTGAGTGGATATGATCATACGATCTAAATCCGTATGTAGTTTGGTTATGTCTAATGAACGAGAGGGCTACGTGTCAGCCGACTACGAGGCAATTATGGTGACTTTATAAAATCTTAAGGTGCTATCCCGGCTTAATCTCTCGGAAATGCTCAGAGGGATAGAGAGTGTGTGCTTGCGTTCATATGATTGAGTGTATACTTGTGTATGTGAGCAACTTCGATTGTACTGTATCTTTTTTAAAAATACGTCTTGAATCCTTTATAGGTATGCCATTTTCAGGTGCCGAGTTGGAATCTCATTCTAGAGACACGTTTTGTCAATTGGGTAAGACGAGATCCTACAGTTCACTGTTTTATCTTTGAGGCTTGCTTCGTTGCACCCCCTAACTCAATTTCCTAGGGGTATTTTTAACCCCCGCCATCTATTTTTTTCTTCGGCCCGCCGCTGCCCATATCCAAGCCCCGTAGCCCATATCCAAGCCCTGTATAACCCGTATGACCCATACGTATGTATATGGTGACATCCCGAAAAAAAGGATGACACGACCCCACGACCAGGTAGGACCTGCCGACGGCCGATCCATCAATCACGTAGCTCAATCAATCACGCAGCTCCATCATTCACGCAGCTCCTCCATCATTCTGGTGAGGTTCTTTAGGAATATCGGCGGCGGCGATCTTATTGCCGGCGATCTCGTCCAAGAGCGCGCGCGGCACCGTCGTCAACCTCCAGCGCTCGCAGGTACTGCATCTCGTTTCCCCACGTTTGTCTCGCTCACGACAGCATCGAACGAACCGCCGCTGTTTTCGTCGTAGTGGTTAACCTAGCGGGGCGGGTAACCTAGCTTTCTGGCGGTCCAGGCCATCGCAGATCTTGTTCTGGTAGTGCTGCTCGTCGTGATATACACAGTGATCACGCGGGCTAAAGTGGGTTTCTTCTTTCTAGGGTTAACCTAGTGTCGGTTGCCGTCGGTTGTGTGCACGACGGCTCCGTTATTTGATGCGGCGGCTTAACTAGGTATCCGGCGATCCAAAGTAATCACGACTGGTGCCGTGGGCTAGGAATCCGGCGGCGCATGTTATCACGGGTAGCGCGGCTTCTCGCGATCCAAAGTGATCACGTACTGGATTCATGGGACGTACCTTAACGCCGCTCGGTGTGGAGAGGGGGAGGATCCATGGGCGATTAGAGGTCGTTGGCGCCGGTTGTGTGCACGATCTGAACGCCCTCGGTTGGGGCACTCTCCGGTTGGGGTAGTTTCTTTAACATCCGTGATCGTGCGCTAGGTGTTGTATATGTCAGCATTGATAATGTTTGCACATGCGATGATACATATTAATTGTTGTAGGAAATGGCGGACGATGAGTTAACTAATATGATGCATGACATGGAGTTTGGAGAAGTGATGAAAGACTGGATAGAAGATTGGTCAGATGATGAAAATTCAGATCTTGGAGATAGGTCAGAGAATGGGAACGCATTGGAAGATCTTAATGTGAGTCGCATTATCATGTTGTAATTTTTTGGTGGCATCCGACAATATTATATTTTGAAAATTTATAGATGGATGAACATGATGATGGTCAGGAAAACAATGAGCATGATGATGGTGAGGAAAACAACTCGGAGATCTCGTATAAAGATTACATTAGTCAGGTATGAAAGTGGAATTTTTTGTTGGCATGCATGCAAGTTGAATAAATCCTGGAATATTATATTATAAGTACTTATGTATTTGTGTTATATTTTTCAGCTCATTTCCGAATGTCATAATGCGTATGACTATTACGGTGAATCCGAAGCGGAGACAGGCCTTGATGTCGAATTATTAGCTGCACCTGATTCTGGGGAGTCGCAATCGCCGGTCATCATGAGTGAGGTATGTATGTAATGAATGTTGTATGGAAGTAATGTTATACCATAGAAAACTATTTTCAAGGCTATGTTATGATTGTGTAGGTGACAGAAGTTGAGGGGAAAAAGAATGTCCAAGATACTGCTAGTGCAGATGATAAGAGGGATATGTTCATGCAGATACAAAAGACTTTTACGTCTCATGAGGCTGCGTATGATTTCTACAACAGCTATGCTAGAGAAAATGGTTTCAGCATTAGAAAGAATAGGGTCAGGTATACCAAAACCGAGTCACGTCATATGCGTTATAGGCGGTTTGTTTGTTCCAGACAAGGAAAACGTGATAGCAGGTTGCTAACCGAGGAAGGACATAGCCGTAGGCTCCGACCCGAGACACGCTGCCACTGCAAAGCGCACCTGACCGTGAAGCTTGACCGAAAGTGTGGGGTTTGGTATGTTGATAGTTTTGAGGACAAGCATAGCCATATCTTGGTAGGACCGGACGAGGTACCTTTTCTTTGGTCCCGTAGAAAAATCAAAGAGTACAAGAGAGCTGAGATACTGTCCATGGGAGCTGCAGGGATTAGAATTCACGACATGATGGATTCGTTCATCAGCAAACATGTATGGTATGGCGGTGTTGGTTTTACCAGGTGTGAAATATACAACCTTTGCGCCAGGAAGAAGAGGAAGCTGCTTTCAAAAGGTGATGCTGCCACAGTCATAGGCATCCTGGCCAGTAGGAAACAGAGGGATCCTAGCTTCTTTTTTGAGTACAAGCTAGACAAGGAAGGACATATTAATAGGATGTTCTGGTGTGACTCCCAGTCTCGTCATGACTATGAGGACTTCGGCGACGTGCTTGTATTTGACAGCACGTACAAGATGAACCGGTATGGTATGCCATTCATACCCTTTGTTGGTCTTAACCATCACCGGAAGACCACTGTTTTTGCTTGTGCCATAGTTTCGGACGAGACCGAAGAGACATATGTGTGGCTACTGGAAACTTTTTTGAGGTCCATGTGTCAAAAGATGCCGAAGAGTGTTATCACGCACGTCGACGCTACGATGATCAAGGCAATTCGCCAACTCTTGCCAGACGTGTGGCACCGTATATGTACGCGGCATATAGAAAAAAAATGAAGATTCACCTCAGTCACAAGTCCTTGAAGGAGTTTCGAACTCTTCTGTACTACAGCACGTCCACGGCCACGTTTGAGGAGAGATGGCACACGTTTTCCAAAAGATGGCAGTCGGAAAAACAGTAACATGGTTGAGATGGATGTATAAGAAGAGAAGACTGTGGGCCGCGGCTTATCTGACAGAGGGTTTTTGGCTTGGCATGAAAAGAAACCAGAGGAGTGAAAGTCTAAACTCATGCCTTCACCTCCACCTAGACGGTGAAATGACCCTGGTGGATATGATTTTGCATTATGAGAACGCCGTTGTACGTATCCGTGAGAATGAGGCACGAGATGATTGCACGGCCTCACAGAGTGTACCGGTGGCAGTTACTAGCTCGAGGGAACTTGAGATAGCTGCTTCTCACGTCTTCACTCCAGCAAACTTCTATATGTTGCAAGCTGATCTTAGGAAAATTGGCGGCATGGAGATTGTAGAAATAAAGCTCGGAGACGGATCACAGCAGTACATCGTGGCCTGGAAAAATAACCGGAAGAGCCGTTTTTGGGTGGAGTACACTCCAGTAAATTCCGCAGAAACTATAAGGGTGCAGCTCTAGAAGAATGATTCGAAAGGGTCTACCTTGCAAGTACATATTCCATGTACTGAAGTACTTGAATATATCTGAAATACCAAAGTGTTTAGTTCTTGTGCGGTTCACGAAAGACGCAAGGTTGGGACTGCCCGCGAGGCGCACAAGTGATCTGTTGGGATTTGGATGGACTGGAGCAGCTGAAAGAATGAAATATAGCCAGGTCAGTGTGTTGGCTTCAGAAGCTATGCATGCAGCATGCAAACACCCAGCTTTATGGGATCAGTTACAGGAGAGTTTGAAGACCGTGATAGCTAGGAGCCATGAGTATGATCAGCTAAAGGAAAATTTGAGTAAGAAAACAGCTGATCTTAGTAGTTGTGCAATTGAATATGTAGACGATGGTGAAGGCAACATAGTTGAAGTTCAAGATCCTATTAAAATATCAATGAAAGGTGCAACTAAGGTAGATGAGAACCGCCCTATGTCGAAAAATGGTAGGCCACTTCCGTACGACGAGATCAGAATCAGGTGCGGTGCATGCAAATTGCTAGGGCACACTAAACGCAGCAAGAAATGCAAACTAAATAAGAAGTAAGTTTTTTGTACACATTGTAGGTTATAATTGTTTTTAATTTGTCATTCATTAACTTTTCCTGTTATCGTGTGCAGAAGCGTGGTGGGCGAAGAAGAGTAGAACAGTTGCTAGAGTTATGTTAGGATGAATCCAGTGATCTAATAGTGAGGTGTTTACAATGTCTTACTGCATACATGATACATGATATATAATATTGCAAGAGGCCAGTACCTTGAGATAGTGCTTGTAGCATATATGGACTAAACAGGAGGCGGTCACTAGGGAATTTAATCATGGAAAATGGATAGCATTTTAGCCATTGTGATGATGTCATCTTTTGTGTTGTCCACTCTAGTTATATTATATTAGAAAACTAGACGATACCCGACATGTTGTTGCGGGAATGTTTTGCAATATATTCATCGATAAATGCTTCCGTGTAACATGTATATGTTGTTGCGGGAATCTTTTGTTTGCATGTTGTAGTGGACCTTTCTCCATACATGTTGAATGACGAGGTGGGAAACTTGCATGTTAAGAGAAATAGGTTAGTGGTGGCTAGTTGTTTAGATACAGAAGATGTAATTATGTGTGGTAATAATTAACTTTTTTTACTCCTTTGGTTCACCACAATTTAGATATGGAAGATACCAGCTCACTTTTGTCTATAGTATAGACTTCGTACCAAAAACCCACCATTTTCACCTCATAAAGAAAAGAAAAACCCACCATTTCAGGGCTTGTAGTGTAACTCGTGTCGCTTGTCGCGATGACGTGGAGGGGGGTGACGGATGCCATTAGACGGTGCGACACACGGCTGCTCCCATTGCCGATCCCATTTAACAATTTTTATTTT